GGTGGTGATCAACAGGAAACACTGGGCAGCAAGGACATATCATACACACTAGCTCTGTTCCACGAAAACATCATGTCTTTCAGTGCACAGGTGAAAACATACCTTCAAACCCTCCTCCTTCTCCCTCCCAGCCACTTCACTGATGGTCAAACTCAGCTCAAGCACCACTGAGTTGAGCCCTAAACAAACAAAATGTGCTGTTGGAGAACATCGTGAATTAGAGACTGAAATGAGAACGTAGAATACAGTAATTTCCCAACAAAACTTCTGTTTTACCACATTTGCAGGTTCTGAAATAGATGCAATCACCCTATAAAACATAGCTGACACCTTTCCCAGGCCTGGTTTTGGGTCCCAGAAATAATGCACTTGGACCTAGGAAAGGATCGTTTAAAAGAGAATTCAATATGAAAATGTCACAGTGTCGCTTTCTCCTTTGGCAATCCCCAGTTTTCCATCAAGTTCTGCAGGCATATGCAATGACTGCATCACAAGACTTTCTTCAGCACCCCTCCCTGACGTGGTCTCTGCAAGCTCAAGGTAAGAAAAATCACAATTCTTTCTGAGTCTAAGAATTTTTTGGCAACTAGAGCTGTTTCACTGTTCTTCATTAATTTTTTTTTTGTGTTTTTTTCTTAGCAGAAAGGACATTGTCCTTTTCCTTTTATTTTCTAGTTACAAACACATGGTTGATGACATTTATGGTAATATCTTTATATCTTTTATGAAAAAAAACCCAAATCCAAATTGCGTAGTATTGGTAATTCCAGAAGGCTTTACCTTACAATAGTTAGAGCATTCTGCTAGTCACCCATGGTATGTAAAGCACATAAATGGCCCACTAAAAGGATATTTCTGTAGATTTAACTTGCAAAGATGTTCTTCAATAAAAATGTCCTTAATTTACTGGCATTATGTCCTATAACTCCTTTCATTTTGCTTTCCTCCTCTTTTAAAAAAGAATAGATGAATACAGAGACATCTGAAGATTGATTCCTGCCTAAAGTTGTTGTTTGGTTCACAACCCTGAGATAACTGAGCTCTTTATTTTGCAAGTTCTACGCCGCCTTTGAAATGTTTTGTTCAAATTTAAAACAAGCAAAGAAACGGAATCCATTTCAGATGGATTCCTGTAGGGCAAGTGAGACTAGTTTCCCGTTTCAAAGTAAAAAGCTTAATCATCTTCGTAGTTAAGGCTCATCCGTGAGACCTCCAGTAAGGGAGACAGGAAGGAAAACTTGCAAAAGCTGATGTGTGTGATTGAACCTTTCATTCCAGCTTTGGTTGGAAGTTGGGCTGCACATAACATGACTCTTCATTCATGGTACTCAAATGAGAGGCCTGGCTGGTGGCACAGTGTGACAGCGTGCCTCGACAGGAAGGGACGCCTGACAACGGAGTGCCAAGAGTGGCCCACGCACTACGCAGGGGACACTGAGGGTAAGGGCTTTCTTACCTGGGTGGAAACACAGTGGTTCGCTTACAGGAGCAATGCTCTGAAACTGCCAGTCTGATTCCCAAAATGGAATACGGATGAAGATTCCTGCCAGACCAAAAGTGCCAGGACACAAAGATTTGCTGCCCATGGAGTGCCCAGGCTGGCCCACCAACTGCATCTGAAAACCAAAGGTTCCAGGCTTTCTTTGCTGGGGAGAAGGGCTGTTGTTTGCTTTTTTCAGCCCTGCGCTCAAACTGCCAGTCCCACTCCCAAAATTGCATACGGACAAAGATTCCTGCCAGACAAAAGGTGCCAGGACACAAAGCTCTATGTGTCCCTGGAGTGCCAAGAGTGGCCCACACACGGCACAGGAGAGGTGGAGGGTAAGGGAAGGCTTTCCTGGGTGGAAAGACAGTCATTCTGTTTTTGGTGCAGAGGGAGATTCATCTCTCCTGCTTCAACTTCCTCTTTGCTTTTCATGATGTACTGAATTATCCAACAGAAATGTTCTCGTCCCCTGCTAATGGTACTGAAATTCTAAACAAAAATCTGAAGTTTGGACTGTAACTTTCACAGGGTTTATGCTAAGCTCTTCTGTCACAGGTAAGCCCGTGGTGAGGTAGTAAAATTAAAAGGGCTTAGATTTTTTTGTTGTGTTCCCCCTTGGCAGTAAAAAGCCTGGAAACAGAGAAAGACACATTGCACATAAAGAGCAAGAAGAGACAGCTGAAAAGGAAGCTTTCTAGATTGGTTTGGACCATTCTATTTTCAAAAATACCGTAACACACATTTTAACTTTAAATACATTAAACCTGTGGCATAGAAGAGAAATAATTGGCAGGAAAGAAGAAGGGGGGGTTCAAGGCCAGGAAACGTGTTGTGCTGAGAGGGAAGAAAAAAACTGCCTTTAGGACAGTTTGTTTAGACTAGAGAAAATAAAAACAAACCCAAAAGAGATCAAAGGGGAAAAATTAGGTCTTGGTGAGAGAAAACACAAGATCTGGAAGAGAAAAGGTACAGCAGAGGCATCTATTTGGTGTGATCTTACACTTTATATGGATCAAAGGATGGAGTTCAGAAGAGAGAGCTTCTAAGCAAGAAGGCAGATTACAGAGCAGACCAGCATAAATGTCAGAAATGGAGAATACAGTTAGACAGGGTAGAAAGTGAAAGGAGTAGCTCAAAATGAGGGATCACACAAGCAGAGGGAACTTTGGATGCAGCGTGATGGTGCAATGAACTGGAAAGATCTTGCTAGTGCCAATCTTGCTAGATGGTGTCAATTTAATCTTAAGAAAACATGAGACAATTATGAGCTCTCTGGGCATAGATTTTTTTTATGTGTTTTTTCTCCTTTAGAAGCAAGAGATTTCCTGCACTCAAATTTCACTGTATTCATCAAAATTCAAACTGGAATAACTATGTCTCAAGTATAACAGAGATGTTCTCCCGCCATGTTCCTGAAAGGACATCTAATTTTTCTCAACTATATTTGTTGCTCTAATACAAGTTACTATCTCCACAGTCCAATTTAAATTTTAAGAATAACTTCCAAATTTAGAACTTCAAAAAATGAAAATCCACACCACAAAACCATTCTCCAAAATGCATTTTCATTTAGAATAATCAAAGTCGTCAAAGGGCAGCAGATAAACTCCATTTCTGAAGTTACATTCTACTACAACTGAATATTTGTTTTAATGAAGTCTTCCATCTAATTATATTCTTTTAAAATAGCATGGTATGGCAATTTATAGAATTACAGAAGAGAATTATGTAAATTTTCTTCTCTTTACGACTTCTGCAGCCTTCTGCACTAAAATGGATTTAAAGAAGACTTCAGACTGTAAGATTTACTCAATAATAATGCAAAAATATGTGTATATGATTTTTAATTACAATCCAGCAAAAGCATATTATAGGTGTAATTTAGGCTTTTAATTGCCAGCCTGATCTTCCGACATTACTTTTTTCTAGGCAAACTGGTATTCTGCCAAGATTTGCAAGTACAGAAGCACGTGTCTAGACAATACTGAACTGAAAAGGAGAATTGCGATTCATTAAATCCAGTTAATTTAGGAATTTTTGTAAAACATCCTTGGAAGTGTGGTATTCTTCTGTTCCTCAACTGCTGAGAGCGAGACGCAATTGTGATTTGCTGTAGGAGGGCACTGACCCCACTGATTTCTGTCCAGTGTACCTGCATTCAGCAACAATTTCATTTGTATATGATCAAAGCTCCATTTTAAAGACTCTGTAGCTACACACAGTAGGAGACAGCCCTGCCCCAAGCAAATCACAGCCTAAACCTGAAGTGCAGGTTAAAAAAAGCACATGAAGCAAATTCTCCAATGCCATATACCACGTCATTACCAAAACAAGGTGCTTTTTACTATTTTGTTACCATTACTGTGGCACATATTCAGTGTTTCAGTAAAGGACTGTAGGTTTGACTTCCACTGAAGTCACTGGCAAGTCCAGCAATGTACTTCATGCCTTCATATCTTCATCATTGTCTTGAGTAAACTCTGATTGCAGACTTTGCCCTTTTGAATCATCATTAAACGAAAAGATCAAAACACCTCTTTTGTTATAAACTAAGCAAATTCCTCTATTGTAAATGTGATTGTTTTTTTCTTCCAAATCCTATATTTCTTGATTTTTTGTTATTTCATGGTGATTTCATGCTAAAACATGAATTCCAGTTCAATGGAAGAGGCAGCTCCATCCATAAGTCATACAGCTGAGCTCATAATGAACAAGTCCCTTTGTCCCTCAGTCTCTTCACAGCTAAATTTCCAGAGGGCAAGCCTTACTATACACCATTAATTGTTCTCGTTTCACACCTCACCTGCCTGATTTGCAAAGACCAGTGAGATAGAGCCTTATAGTTTTGTTATAGAAGAAAAGGAATTAAATTGTTACATGAGTAGAAACCTTGTCCTCCTCACTTTGGCAAACTTATTGTTGTCTCTCTCTCATCCATTTTCCTTTGCTCAACTCAAGTATCAAGAACTAGATGAACCAGAGCAGGAAATTTACTTGCACAGTTCCTGACAATATGTTTGATCTGAATTGTGCTGTGGCACAAGTGCTGTCATCCTTGTCTGCTGTTCAAGAACTATCTGTTGTCTCTGAGAGAGTCCTTGATCCTCTTGTCCCCAAATCCAACATTTTGAAAAATCTTTCCTAATTTCCATGACCACAGCTGTTATCAGTAAGGGCAGTTACTTCTGATTTATCTGTCCTTTTTTTCTCAGCAGTTGTATCTGACATGAGCTGTTATCCCAGAAGCTTACATATATCTGAGGGATTTGCAGAGAAAAAACAACCCTACCTACTTTTCATTCCATGAGAAGAACTGAGAACTTCCAAATTCTTTTTCGAGTAACTAAACCAATCTTACCTTACTGCAACACAGATAACGTTAAAATAAAATTCTATATAGTACTGCACACAGACATAATTTTAAAAATAATTAAAAGGCACTGACAGTAAAAGAATAGTTTTATTTCTTTTGAACAGTAATGACCTCAGCCTATCACAGAACTCATATGCCACCTGTATTAGGAGTTGTTCAATGAAATACATGGCACTGAGTCTGGAAGCAGGAAAAGGTATCCTATCATTCAGATAACTTTACAGGAAGAACAGCCACTGCTTCAAAGAGAGCAACTGTTTATGTGTGTGAAGAATTTTATGTGTCGAGTTCATAACTCTCAAGGTAAAAATCGCTGATGTCTTTGCATTATTAGACCAAAAGGGAATAATATGAAAGTGCAATCCAGAATATGCAATAGCAGAGCAAATGTACAATGTGAATCTAACAGCCTTAGCTCGCAGCAAGTTAAAAACAGAAGCATCTGTCAAAAGCCATATAAAGTGAGATTCAGATGGCAACAGAGGAAATAAATCAACAGAATGCTAAAAAGGAAATTAAGCAAAGAAGGCTCTGAAAGATCTCTGCAAGAGACCATTTAGAAAGCATGAGTCAGATGAAAGTTGTTGAAAGTAGAAATCACTGTAATAGCAGCAAAAACATCCAGCTTCTTCCTCCTTTGAATTCCAGTTCCAAAACTGGCCTTATTTTAACTTACTGGCAGTGGAAAAGCTGAAGATTAACCTAAGGAGAAACAAAAACATTTGTCTTAAGTAAGTTCTCATCTCTCTTCCTTGCAGCATAATTAGTTCTCAACAGCAGAGACTATGCACAAAAGGTCAGCTGAACATGGTAGCAGCACAGGGAAAAACTGGAAAAACAGCTCTCTGAAGGAATACTTATTCTAGGATGCTCTTTAGGTGGAGGTTGAAAACTCAATGAAGAGATGCAATGACAAATATATTACACAGAATAAACACAGCAGCAATTTTAGTTATTTGCAGAAGAGGAATAGTGCTCTGCAAGCAGGACAAAGACAGAAACAGAGGCCATAAGGGACAATTGCTCTAATGCCACGAGTAGGGAATTATCATAACTCAGGGTAGTCTTTTATCTCCAAATCCTTTTGAAAAGTCAGTTCTGAAGAAAGGCAGAGTAGTGCTACTGAGGTTATTTAATGGCATTGGTTAGTGTTGGTTTGATACAGTGACCCAACAGTTTCCATAACAATTACTGTTACTGCTTCAGTGAGAGAATGTTCTCTAAAAAAACTATCATTCTTCTTAGTCCCAAGAAAGAGAAATTATAAGTCCCCTTTCAGATATATGCCCACATTTGCATTTTTGTAGCAGCACCACGCTGCATGCTTATGTTCAGTTTAGCATTCCCAAGATCCTGCTTCTCTAATACTGTTTCTTAGTCAGCATTCCCACATTTTATGTTTTTCATTGTTGGCTTTTATACTGAGTGAGAACCTCTTAGCATTCATCTTGATTACATTTTACTCTGCTAACATCTGCCTCTCTGTTAACTGCCCTACTTCCTACAGCCTTTTATGTCCAACTTTACAAATGTTAGCAAGCTCTCCTAGATTAATTTTTGCCAACAAATATGATTGCTGCAGTATCCATTCTTTCCTTCATTTGCTTTATTTTCTTATGACAATTTTCTTGCTCAATTTTTTAACCAGTGAACACATTGTTTCAGAATGTCGTGAAAGTCATGTAACTCGTTAAATCTCAATCTATTGGATTTCCTGTTTTCACTGATTTTTTTACCTGAAAACATTCAGATAAGTAGGGGTGCACAAATGTAGACTTCAGTGAGTGAGCTGTGTCACAACCAGTGTATATTCAAATCCCAGGCTTGTAAATGCCACATACTATTTCCTCTAATGTATTTTTACTTTCACTTTATCAGTAATCTGTGGTCTCTCTGCTTACTCCACCTTGAAAAGTGGGAGAGTCTTATTTACCACTTATTTTACGAGCTGTACCCTGTTGTTCCTGCAATTCTTCATATATGCAACAGAGCATCAAATTGGTCTGTTGGGCGGGCGCGTGCCCTCTTCCCTGCTCCTATACTTCCTAGCACCAAAGTTGACTGCCAACAATTCTGAAACCTCTTTTGCTAGTTCTTTATGAATTTTGCTATCCGGTACTGCTGCCCTTACACGTTAAAACTCCAAAAAGCAGTGAAGGAACCAAGTCACACCTGCCAAATGCAAGTCGCTGGCTAGCCAGGCTCCCTCCTGAAGGTTTAGCTAAAATTTTGGAAAAGGTACTTATCTAAGGGAAATCTCTCTTTTTCAAACTCTCTCCAAATACGATCTTCATGCAGGCAATTTAAAAAAAAAATTAAAAAGCAAAAGATAATACAAAGGTAGTCACACCATCCTGTAGGGCTTGTTGAGGACAGAAAAGCTCTTCATGAAGCAAAGTGAATTATCGGAACAAAGGAGAGAAAGGAATACCTTCTTACTGTTACTATGCTAGCCTTTTGTATGTTAAAAAGTTACTACATATAAGAGAAACAAATTCAATCCCTAAAAGTTTGAGACAAGGAAGTTATTAAGCTTCAGAAGTTTTTATTGCCTTCTATCTCCTTAATGAACTGTATTTCCCTCTTCTAACAAAGTGGAGCATACAGAGTGCACAGGTGACAGGTAGCTGTTGGTTTTATGGACAAGAGGCCATAAAACTGCAGCCTGGGCTAAAGCAGCTGCACTGAAAATGCCTCGATTCACTGCATAGTATAGCAATATTCTTAGAGCCATATTCTGTTGTCTGGTGAATTAATACACATATGGACCAAAAGTTAAGAGGCTATTCTTTACTCCCACTGCAAATTGCCCGAGACAATTTATTCCTGCTATTCAAGAATGTTAAGCAGCCTCCCCCACCAATCACACCAAAGATATGGACTAAAAGGTGATAATGAATTATCTTCACTTTTACTCCCTGGCTCAGCATATACTTGACACAATTTGCACTATTACATGACAATGATTCGTAACTAGTGTTCTTTTCACAAATCAATTCTTTCTCAACTGAGCAGCAATTTTTAAATGCTAGAAAAACTTTGAAAGTGCAAATTTAGATCTCCCAGTTCCAGAAGCCTTTCTTTTAGTTTCTGAAGTTCTTATCATATGTCTAGTAGTTAGCTTTCCAAAGACAGGAACCTGACTAGGAGACTGCATTCTATTTTAAAAGCAATTTAAAATTTAAAAATCTCAATGCCTTTTGTACAACAGCAGCTTTACAGACAAGTTCACCATTAGAAATGTGGAGCCCAACTGCTGATGTTCACATATGGTTCCGAAAATATAATGTTTACCCCATGTTTTAAGTGTTGAGGTTGGGGAAACACAAGAAAGCAGAGCTTGTAGAAGAAAATACCTAAAATTGTTTTAGTCAAATTAGATTATATGTAACATTGGGCAATTTTATCCATCCTTAAAATGCTCGAAGTGCTGTAATCCTGTCATGTAACTGTTCTCATGACATCAATCTTATCTGGATCAGAAGAAAGCTGTCTTTTTACTTCCAGAAAGTTACACAACCAAATGAGGGTGGTGAGACCCTGGCACAGGCTGCCAAGAGAAGCTATGGCTGCCCCATCCCTGGAAGCATCCAAGGCTAGATTGGACAGGGCTTGAAGCAACCTGGGCTAGTGGAAGGTGTCCCTGCCCATGGCAGGGGGTGGAATGGGATGGTTTAAGGTGCCTTCCAAGCCAAACAGTTCTGTGATTCTGTGGTAATGGGGCCACTGCCAACAGACCAAGCACCTGTGACCTCAACAGCCACTGTGGAGCCCAGGGAGGGGACATGGACAGAGGCTGGAGGAATTGGCCCCTGAGCCTGAACACATATGAAGAGCTGCCTTTGAGGGGCCAAGGCACTGGCTGCACATTTGTACAAGCTCTCACTACATCAGAGAAATTACTTCAGGCAACTGAAGGACAGCCATTTAAATTCTTTTTTGGAGTCCTACAGTTATGCCTGAACATTGACCTATCAAAGCTCCGATCCAGTTCATCCTTTCTCTTCCATGAATTAGGACAGACAAAATTCCTCACAGAAGCCAATGCAACAGAAACTCAAAAAATCAGCAACATGCTACAGTTCCTGGGGTCTTCAGATTCCTTTTGAGAGAAGTGGCACTTGCGTGTAAATCAGCACATCTAAAATTCTTGTAATTTCATTTACAAACCTCAATATAAATATTACAACACACTTGAAGCTTCCAGTTCTAGCCACTGCTTTTTGGCTATTTAGCTACTAAAGTCTCCTGCTATAGTTAAGAATACTGGGAAGGAATGGCTCAGCCAGAACCAAAAAGAAAATCTTGAGCCACCCTTCTTATTATTTAAATGCTCATAATTTTCTTTTTTTTTTTTCTTTTCAGACAAGAATGCAAAATGAAAAATATTAACCAGGATCAACTGGATCATTTGATTACCTCTTAACAAGCACATCCTTGAAAGCATATACGTGTTGGGCCAAGGCATTTACCAAATTAAAAAGTTTTTAAAGTTCAATGAAATTTCAAAGCAGAAGAGGTATGTAGCTTTTATAGATTACCTGACTTCTATTTAATTTGTACCATGTTTTTCCCACAGATATGTTATACATTTTAACACAAAAGTCAGACTGATTTATATTGCTTTGACTGTGGCTTTTATCCATTCACTGACAAATTGAATTTTGCACAGGTTTACACAAACCCCACGAAATAGTATCAAGTGAAACAAGTCTTTGGATTTTCTCAAACTGTTATAACAACTTCCAGTGTCACTGCCCTACAAAGAAACACTTACCCCAACAGTTAATGGAAGAACAAAATCAATATTCAGGGTAATTTTTTCCTCTATAAATCAGTGAAAGCCTGCAACATCAATTACTTCTCCCTGGCATAAGATTTCGGTGGGAATTGTACAGGTCACACCAGGGCTGATTTCAGTCAGGTGTGTAAGTTTAAACAAGAAAAGAAGCAGAAAAGAACTCGTGCTCCCCCACAGCAGATGACAGACAAGCAGTACCAGTTGGCAATCTGAAACAAAGTTAATCCCAACACCCTGCTTTAATAGAATTATCCTAACATCCTGTTCAGACAGATTTGTATCAAAAGTCTCTCTACTCTTAGCTTCCACAGAATTAAGCTGAATATTCCATATCCCATGCCCCCCCCTTCCTCGAGAGCCAAGCTCCTCTCCTGCTTTCCTCTGCACTGTCTCCTTTCCTGAGACCTTCTTGTCTCATTCACTCTTTCTCTGCATTCTTTCTGAAGAGGTCTGTAAAATTCCGGTTTTGCTCAGCTTCAAGTCTTGAAAATCAGTCCCAGGAAAACCCAGAATAGTAAGACAAAAAGGAACTAAGCAATGTAGAGTGAGATAAGAGGTTCTCATGCAGATTAGTCTGTCCCAAGCAGAGTTATGTGAAAGGCCACCCTGGGTTCTCTGTATGACACCAGCCATTTTTCTGGATGACTATTTTGGAATGAATTACAGTACAGTCCAAAATACTGCAAGAGTTTAATGCATTAGAGCAAAATCTAACACCAGTTTATGCTAATGAAAGTGAGCACTCCAATACTCGTAGGCAGTCCTGATTTTCTAAACGAGTTAATCTGACAGAATGACAATACTGTTTGTAGCATGTGAGTAACATTTTAGTAATTATTATTGAAACTAAAACAACACCTGCCCAATGAAGTTTGATTGAAATGTAACAATACAGAAGAGG